CCATGCCAGATAACAGAAGTGAAAAGCCACAGAAGCACCCATCACTTGGCAGTTGAGTTTCTTAAATCCATCTGCCCTATCACCTTTCTGGGGCACACAAAGTGAAATCAAGAGGGTAAAAGAATAACCCAACACATTTTCCTTTGTAGTCAGATAGGCTGATATCTTTTAACTGACCATCTGGCATAATAGATGTTGCTTTGAACTGGGGGGCAAGGTGCCCAATTTTGGCATGTCCTGAAAACATATTGCTATCAGCAGTTCTCAGACAGAAACCGCCAGGACCAGTCAGGAAGAAGACAGGCCTCTGTTATTGATTTCTAATTTAATTCTGCTGTGACCAGAAAACATACTTAGTATGACTTGAATCCTTTTAAATTTATTGACTTGCTTTGTGTGCTAGCATATAGTCTATTTTGGTAAATGTTTCATGTGTATTTTGCTGTTGTTGGGTAGAGTGTGACTAACGTGATATGAGATCTTAGCTTTTTTATTAAAGGTGTGAATTTCCTTCCTCATAATCTCATCCGAGAAGAGCAGAGAGTAAGCTAGTGGCAACATTCCCAAAAATCTAAGGCTATATAAAACAAAAAGGTAAAGAAAGGCTTACATCCCTACTGAATTGAGGACTGGAGTCAGATGGCTTGGTTTTAGTCTTGGCTTGGTCTCTACTATCTGTGTGACTTTGTAACTTGGAGCAAGTCACTTAAACTCTTAGGTCCTGATTTTCCATCTTTAAATTGAGAGATTCATTTACATTTGCTGAGTTCATTGTAAATTGGGAAACAACAAGAAGTAAGGAAATGTATTTGCCTTTTGATCCAGTGAGAAATAGTCTGGAAATCTACTCTAAGGAAAGAATCTGAAATACAAAAGTTTACATGATGTCAGTAGTATTTGTATAATAGTGAGAAACTGGACCATCTATAGGTACATCGATAAGGCAATGACTAAGTAAATTATGGTTCATCAAACCTATATTTCAAATGAAAGCTAATGATGTGTTAAAAGCAAAATACAAAATAATACATTTACAATGATTATAACTACATTAAAGAGTGTGTAGGAAAGGAACTAAAAGTAAGTCCTATAAAATATGAATAGTTGTTAATAATTAAGGTGGTTGGAAATATGGGCAATTTTTTCTCATCTCTATTTCCTAACTTACTGATAAAGTGTAATATATTGATGAACAAATGTGCAACATGTAACTAAATTTAGCAAAACTGAAATTTATTAATTAAAGAATTTTGACAAGTTGAAGCTTTAAATTCCTTTCCAGCTCCAATATGCTATAATTCTGCTTCATGGAAAGGAAAAATAACATTTCAAGAGTGTTTGTCTAACTTTCAGTTCTCCACTAGAAATAACCTAATTTGGAAACTTGATGCTTCAGATTACAAAATTACTGAGTTAAGAGGAGGATTAGTCAGATTCTATTTCTGAGAGTGCCTTCCATGGGCAGAGCAACAGTGAAGGAGAACCATGGTATTCAATGGAAGTTTCCAAGCCAGGCAGGGAGAAGAAACCAAAGAACAGGAGAGGAAACTAAAAGATGGTAGAGGAGAAACAGGGTGGAAGAAAAAGACTGAAAAAATAAAAGGGTGAACAGATGGTGAGTGAGAGTTTTCCATCATCAGCGGTCTAGATGCCACCTTTGCTGTAAGTCACCTGTAGGACATTAGGTCCCAAAATTGTTATATATAAATATATATTTTTTCATTGCTATATATAAGATTTTGATTTTTTTCTTGTATCCATCCTACTTCAAGGAACTAAAAGCCCTGTCTTCTCACTACCTCTCCTAGTCTTTTTTTTAAAATTTTTATTGGAGTATAGTTGATTTACAATGTTGTATTAGTTTCAGGTGTACAGCAAAATGAATCAGTTATACACATACATATATCCACTCTCTTTTAGATTATTTCCCCATATAGGCCATTACAAAGTATTGAGTAGAGTTCCCTATGCTATACAGTAGGCCCTTATTAGTTATCTGTTTTATATACAGAAGTGTGTATATGTTAATCTCAAACTCCTAATTTATCTCTCCCTACCCCCTCTCTATCCCCTTTGGTGACCATAAGTTTGCTTTCTGTGTCTGTATTTCTGTTTTGTAAATAAGTTCATTTGTATCACTTCTTAGATTCTACATGTAAGTGATATCATATGATATTTGTCTTCTCTGTCTGACTTACTTAGTATGATAATCTCTAGGTCCATCCATGTTGCTGCAAATGGCATTATTTTGTTCTTTTTATGGCTGAGTAATATTCCATTGTATATGTGTACCACATCTTCTTTATCCATTCCTGTGTCGATGGATGTTTAGGTTGCTTCCATGTCTTGGCTATTGGAAATAGTGCTGCAACGAACATTGTCATGCATGTGTCTTTTTGAATTAGGGTTTTCTCCAGACATATGCCCAATAGTGGGATTGCTGGGTCATATGGTAGTTCTATTTTTAGTTTCTTAAGGAACCTCCATACTGCACCAATTTACATTCCCACCAAGAGCGCAGGAGGATTCCCTTTTCTCCACACCCTCTCCAGCATTTATTGTTTGTAGATATCTTGATGATGGCCATTCTGACCTGTGTGAGCTGATACTTCACTGTAATTTTGATTGGCATTTCTCTAATAATTAGTGACGTTGCGCATATTTTCATGTGCTTTTTGGCCATCTGAACTGCCCTAGTCTTTGGCTTCAAATTCCCTCAGGCTCTGGAGCCCCTCTCGTTGCCCTCTGGGATGGACACTCCCTGCCCTGACAGGCACCCACGGTCAGCCAGCTCCAAGTCACCTTCAGCATAGCCCTATGGCATTTCAGTTGTTTTAAAATTTTTATCAAATAAAATTTATTGCTTTTTTTTATCCTAGCTATTATAGAAAATCTGGAAATTACAAGAAAAAAAGGACAAAAATGTTTGAAATCACCTGTAATTCCTCCACCTGAAGACAATATGGTTTTTCAAATATTTTTTCTGTGTATGTATATAACTTTTTTTTAAAGTAGGACTATACTGTATATATATTTTTTAATACCCAACATTTTCACCAAGAACTATATTATGTAGTTTTCCCATGCCATCAAATATTCTTTTAATGATTTCAGTGTTCCATCATGAATATGCAAGAATTTAAAAACTAATTCCATATTGTAGAATATTCAGGTTTTTTCCCAATGCATTGCTATTATAAGCTTTATCACTACAATTGATAGTGGATTGAGGGCCAAGTTATAAGGCTTAGTTCTAGACTTGGCTTGGTTCCTAATTGTGTGACTTTGTAACTTTAAGAAAGTCACTTAAACTCTTAGGCCTTGAGTTTCCCATCTTTAAAATGGTGAGACTTTTAATTTGCATTGCCAAATCGCCCTCCAGAGAGGTCATATCAATTTACCAAAGTGTATGAAATTGTTTGTTTCTCCACAACCTTGCCACCACTGGGTTTTTTTTTAACATCTTTGTCATTTTATTTATTTATTTATTTATTTATTTATGGCTGTGTTGGGTCTTCATTGCTGCACACGGGCTTTCTCTAGTTGCGGTGAGCGGGGGCTACTCTTCGTTACGGTGCACGGGCTTCTCATTGTACCGGCTTCTCTTGTCGCGGAGCATGGGCTCTAGGCAGGGGGGCTTCAGTATTTGTGGCTCGCAGGCTCTAGAGCGCAGGCTCAGTAGTTGTGGCACACGGGCTTAGTTGCTCCGCAGCATGTGGGATCTTCCCAGACCAGGGCTTGAACCCATGTCCCCTACACTGGCAGGCGGATTCTTAACTACTGTGCCACCAGTGGAGTCCCTTTGTCATTTTAATGAGTAACAAAACTGGGTTTTTTTGTTTTACATCTTTATTATTTTAATGAGTAACAATATCTCTCTAAAAATAATTAATTGTGTTTCATCTTAATTTGTATTTCTTTGATTATTCCTTTGTCATTTGGACTTTGTCAATTACCTGTCTCTACTTTGTCCATTTTTCTATTTGAGCATTTGTCTCTTTAATGTTTTGTAAAATTCTTCATATAGTAACAAATTTTTTTTCTACTACATATGTTGGAAATATTTTTCCCCACAGGAAGTCATTTACATTTAAATTTGAAACAGTTTAATTTCAAAAACTTCTAAAGCAGAAAAAAACATGCAGTGAGGACTTCCCTGGTGGCGCAGTGGTTAAGAATCCACCTGCCTGGCAGAAATAGAGACACAGATGTAGAGAACAAATGTATAGACACCAAGGGGGGAAAGTGGCGGTGGAGGGGAGATTGGGATTGACATGTATACACTAATATGTATAAAATGTGTAACTAATAAGAACCTGCTGTATAAATAAATAAATAAAATTAAAAATTTTTTTTAAAAAGCAGGAAAAAAAAGAACCCACCTGCCAATGCAGGGGACATAGTTTCAATCCCTGGTCCGGGAAGATCCCACTTGCCGCAGAGCAACTAAGCCCGTGCACCGCAACTACTGAGCCCACATGCCACAACTACTGAAGCCCGTGCACCTAGAGCCCATGCTCTGCCACTAAGAGAAGCCCCCACTCATCTCAACTAGAGAAAGCCCGCACGCAGCAACGAAGACTCAATGCAACCAAAAATTAATTAATTTTTTTAAAAAGTGTTTCTTTCTAAAAAAAAAAAAAACATGCAATGGAAGTTCCCTTGATAACTCCAAGCAGCTTAAGAAGACCCAGCAAATCTACAGCTGTTCTGTCTGAAAGCACACGGCCAGGACCTGGCTAAGAGTAAGGGCTAAATAAGTGACAGCTGTCATACTTAATGATGACGATAATATCTAAAGGAGTCTTTTGACAAAACCCATCCAGTCCCCTTGTCACTTGTCCCCTTTTGCGCTCCTCATTTCCTGTCACTCCATTTCATCCCCTAAAATGTTCTTGTGAGTATGAAGAAAGGGGATAGTTTCTCCAACAGACCTGAGGATCCTGAGAAAATCAAAGGACTAAAAAGAACGAAGAGAGGGGAGAGGGAGGAGGACTCACCACTTTGGAATTAGGGGCCCTTTGTCCCTCACCGGCTGAGCTGGAGTCTCCAAGCTGGGAACATCCCTCTGCCCGTTCAGGGAGATGAGGCATCAGGCAGGAACATCAGGAAGGACTCCGAAGGTGGGCCCGAGAAAAGTTCATCTTTTATTCTAATGCCTGAAGCCCTCAGCCAGGGGCTCCATCTGCCTGACAGACTCCCTTCCAGCTGTTCCTATACACCAACAAGCCACACCCTGCCTGTCTGCCCTGATAAAGGAACAGAGCAAAGAGGAAGCTCCCTAAAAGCAGGGAAGCCTCCCAGTGCTGCCGGGCTAAGGGACTTCTGCACCTCAGCTCCTTCTCCCGTCCAAGCCAACTGCATAGTGACTGCTTTTGATACATTGTGATCCTATCACACCCTTTCTTAAAAGCTTGCTCCTCTTTACTTTCCAAATCAGAGTAAAACTGAAGATTGGTTTCAAAGACACCCACCAATTAGCCACCTTCTTTAACTCACTACCTTTATCTCCAACTGCACCCTGACATGTGCTTTCTGATAAACAAACTTGCTGACTGTCCCCCAATATGTGATAAACCCTTTCCCGCCTATCTTGCTTTCAGAATATCCATAATTTTATATGCATAATATCCATGTGTTTCCTTAACCAGGCATTATATACTTTTATGTATTTTTGAACTTTATAAAGATGGAGCACGTTGTACATAATTCCCTGTGATTTCCTTTTTTCACTCAACATTAGTTTCTGAGTCTAGCTGACACCTATGGTAGCTCACACCATGTCCCCGCAGCCCACTCAATTTCGGGGTAGCTGAGACTTGAAGGCAAGCTGCTAGCATGCCACCTCGCAGACCACAGCAGCTCTTCGCTTATCTGACTGGGGCGCTTTACAAAGCTTGAGAAGGCTGTTCAGCCTGTGTGTAACCCAGGAGTTCAGGAAAGTTATTGCCCCAGGGGATCGATCAATGGGGCTTGGGGCAGGGGGTGGGGGGGTGGAAGTAAGTGGAAAATGGTCCAGTCCCCACATCTTCAGAGGGACAGTTCTGAGCTGTATTCCACACAATTCCTCAGGGAGTTCTCAGCGGGAATGAGCACAGTGGCCCACTGTCATCAGAAGCTCAATAATGCACATCTTATTGGTTTGTCTTCCTTTGCTTTAATAAATTTATTTATTTATTTATTTATTATTTTATTTAGTTTTGACTGTGTTGGGTCTTCGTTGCTGTGCGCAGGCTTTCTCTAGTTGCAGTGAGCGGGGGCTACTCTTTGTTGCCGTTCGTGGGCTTCTCATGGCGGTGGCTTCTCTTGTTGCAGAGCACGGGCTCTAGGTGCACGGGCTTCAGTAGTTGTGGCACGTGGGCTCAGTAGTTGTGGCTCACGGGCTCTAGAGCGCAGGCTCAGTAGTTGTGGCACACGGGCTTAGTTGCTCTGCGGCATGTGGGATCTTCCCAGACCAGGGCTCGAACCCGTGTCCCCTGCATTGGCAGGCAGATTCTTAACCACTGTGCCACCAGGGAAGTCCCTTTCATCATTTTCTTCTCACTCGCTACTTCTGATTCCTGGGATCACTTCCTAAATAAACTCTTGCACTGAAGAGTTTGTCTCACACCCTGCTTTGGGTGGAGTACAAATTAAGACACTGTAATCTGTCTGTATTGATTGATAGAACTCTGGGACGTTCATCCAACACTGTGAGGTAGATCATTGTATGAATATACCAAAAATTGGTCCATTCCCTCATTGATAAAAGTGAGGGTTATTTCTGGGCTTTCGCTTTTACAAACAGTCTTGCTATGAACATTCTTTTTTTTTTTAATTTATTTGGTTGCACCGGGTCTTAGTTGCAGCAGGCGGGCTCCTTAGTTGTGGCATGCGAACTCTTAGTTGCAACATGCATGTGGGATCTAGTTCCCCGACCAGGGATTGAAACCCTGCATTGGCATCGCGGAGTCTTATCCACTGTGCCACCAGGGAAGTCTCCATGAACTTCATTCTTATCTGAAAGTATAACCAACAGACAAACTATTGTTATTCAGACTTGGGTATTTGGCAGGTGTTTTCTCTAAAATGAACAAAGGGCACCTGTCGCTCGAAGGAAAGCAACTGACAGTATTTGTTGCCAAAGTGATTTGATATTTTGGTTGGAAATTAGCAATTTTATCTGCTACTGTGAGCTTGATAGTTTCCCAGTAAAGGAAGATTTTTCTGATGAGATTGGTAGTGACATTAGTGAATGCGAGTTTTTTATGTTATACAATGAAATGTGTCAACATTTGAAATATCTGCACAGTGAACCAATAAATTCTAAATGACTAATATATGTCTTGACAACTATGCATAAGTAGAAGAGCCACCAATATGCAAGACAATCTGGTGCATTTTACTGGAACAGAGTGTAAAGAGTTCATTGGTGTATTATATATTTGAAAGTTGCTAAAAGAGTAGATCTTAAATGTTCTCAGCACAAAAAAGAAATGGTAATTATGTGACGTGATGGTGGTGGTAGCTACCTTTATTATGGTCATCAGTTTGCAATCTATAAGTGTATCAAATCAATGGATTGTATACCTCAAACTTACACAATGTTATATGTCAGTTATATCTCAATAAAGATGGGCAGGGGAAGAAAGGAAAAGTTCACTGGTATGGTTTTAGATTCCATGCTGCATTAACCTTTAAGCAACTATCACTTGTCAAGTTTCTTCTTGCATCAAAAAAAAACTACCTGTAATTATCTGAGGTGATTGAAATGCTCCTTTTCCAGGGAAGCCTCCTACACCCTTGGGGGAATGTAAGATGGTGCAGCCACTATGGAAAGCTGTATGGAGGGTCCTTAAAAAACTAAAAATAGAGTTGCCATATGATCCAGCAATCCCACTCCTGGGCATATATCCAGAGAAAACTATAATTTGAAAAGATACATGTGCTTCAGTGTTCATAGCAGCACTATTTACAGTAACCATGACATGGAAGCAACATAAATGTCCATCAGCAGATGAATGGATAAAGAAGATGTGGTATATATATACAATGGAATATTACTCAGCAATAAAAAAGAATGAAATAATGTTATTTGCAGCAACATGGATGGACATACTAGACAACATGGATTGTCATACTGAGTGAAGTAAGTTAGACAGAGAAATATCGTATGATATCGCTTATATGCAGAATCTTAAAAAAATTATACAAATGAATGTATTTACAAAATAGAAACGGACTCACAGACTTAGAGAATGAACTTATGGTTACCACAGGGGGAAGGGTAGAGAGAAGGGATAGTTAGGGGGTTTGGGATTGACATGTACAAGCTGCTATATTTAAAAAGAATAACCAGGGACTTCCCTGGTGGCGCAGTGGTTAAGAATCCGCCTGCCAATATAGGGGACATGGGTTCGATCCCTGGTCTGGGAAGATCCCACGTGCTGCAGAGCAACTAAGCCCGTGTGCCACAACTACTGAGCCTGTGCTCTAGAGCCCCCGAACCACAACTACTGAGCCCACGTGCCCGCGCACCTAGAGCCCATGCTCCACAACAAAAGAAGCCACGCAATGAGAAGCCCACGCACTGCAGCAAAGAGTACCCACCACTTGCCACAACTAGAGAAAGCCCACGTGCAGCAACAAAGACCCCACGCAGCCAAAAATGAATTACATTAATTAATTAATTAATTTAAAAAAGTTTTCCTTACACCCTTGACTGTTGATAAATTGTCTTGTACAATGTCCTGCATTCTGGATTTGGCCAGTTGCGTTCTTGCAGTAACATTTAATTTATTTCTTTATCCCTCAGATTTCTGAAACTGGAAAGCTACAGGTTTGATCAGATTCAGGTCCACTTCTGAGCTGTGTGACCTGGATGAGAGGCTTAACCTTTCTGTGTCCCAGTTTCCTTACTAGCAAATTTTTTTTTCTGGTTGCGCCATGTGGCATGCGGGATCTTAGTTCCCCTTCCAGGCATGGAACCGTGCCCCCTGCAATGGAAACTCAGAGCCCTAACCACTGGACCACCAAGGAATTCTCCTTACTAGTAACTTGTTTTTACGCTTTTCTTGATATTTTCGGGAAAATTGACTTTTTAGAATTTTATCATAGTCTCATACACCAGAACAATAAATAAACCACTTTTTTTAAAGGTTATATTCCATTTATGGTTATTATTAAGTATAGGATCTATTCCCTGTGCTGTACAATATATCCTGTAGCTTATTTATTTTATACACAGTAGTTTCTACCTTTTTGGTAAATTGAGGATAAAAATGGTAACTCACTCATTGGGTGTAAGGATTAAATTAGTTAAAACATGTAAAATACTTAGAACTGTGCTTTCCACCCAATAAATGGTAGCTAGTATTATTATCTGAGGAAAGTCTCTAACTTGAAAGCTAGAGACCAAAATAAACAACAAGAGACAATCTAAGAAATGGAAGAAAATGTCAGAAAACTACAACTGATATCCTCAGAAACATGAAATAAGAGAAGATCCTGAGTCCACAACACAAAAGCAAGAGGCTACCAAAAGGAAAGTCAGGGAACCAGGAAAAACACTTGGAAATTAAAATTTTATAGCAGAAATGAACAAATTCAACAGAAAAACTACAGGATAAATTTCAGAAAAATCTCTCATACAGACTTCCCTGGTGGTCCAGCGGTTAAGACTCCACATTCACTGTGCAGGGGGCCCGGGTTCGATCCCTAGTCAGGGAATTAGATCCTGCACGCCACAACTAAGAGCTTGCATGCTGCAACTAAAAGATCCCGCATGCCGCAACTAAGACCAGCACAGCCAAGTAAATAAATACATACATACATACATAAAAATGTAACTACTAAAAAAATCTCTTATAAAGTTAGAATAAACAAAACCAAGGGATGGAAAATGAGAGAAAAATGATGAAAAAAACAAGGGAATCTAACAGAGAGAAAATTTCCCAGAATTGAAGACAGTATGTTTCCTGATTGAAAGGGACCCCTGAGTACCTAGAGCAGTGATTGAAAAAGCCTTACATTATTATTACTTATCATGATGAAGGTTCAAAACATCAAGGATAAAGGAAAAATATATGTCCTAAAAGCTTCCAGAAACAAGTGAACAAGCAAAAATTACATAAGAAGTAAAGGAAATCAGAATAAATCAGACTTCTCAAGAGTCTAGTCACATGAGAAGCTAAATAACAGTGGACCAATGCC